CGCGCCCCGCGGGAGGAGCCGCTGCCTGCGGCGGAACCGCAGCGGCCAGCGAGCCGCCAGCGAGGGGACACGGAGCGAGAGAGGAAGGGGAGATGCCTCCGCCACAACAGCCGCCGGGATGGGGGGTGGGACCGGCAAAGCGGCGACCGGTCAGGAACGAGGAGGCTCAGGCACCGCATCGCTCTGTGCAACCCCCGGGAAGGAACTGGAGTGAGGGGGAGACCGATCTCTACTGCCGTGCTTGCAATGAGAGGATCACAACTGGCGTAAAGCTGAGGTTGGAGGATTCAGATGAGATTTTAGGAAAAACCTTTTTACTGTCCGGGTGGTCAGCACTGCACCGCGGCCCAGGGCGGTGGTGCACTCACCATCCCTGGAGGGGTGTAAGAGGCGCCCGGATCTGGCGCTGGGTGAGGCGGTTTAGGGGTTCCAGTGGCGGTGCTGGTGCAGGGCTGGACTGGACGCTCTAAAAGGTCTGTTCTAACCTTGATGATTCCATGATTTGTGACACCTACCCGGGAGGAAAACGGCCGAGCTGAGCTGCGGGCCGCGGCCGCTGGTGGATTCTGTCTCCAGGGAGCAGACAAGAGTCGTTTCCACCCCAGGGGACCGCACCAAAACGGCCCCGTTCTGTTTGTAAATACATCTCTGTTTCTTTAGCAGTGCGGACATAAGCACTGGGGACAATCCAACCCTGGGCCTCTCAAACAACCCAGATGGCAGAGGCAAGAATGCTCCAATTTATCATTACAATCTTTATTAATAACATCCATCCTAGCTTTATCTTCAGTCACACCGAAGTTTTACCAGTGGGGTTTCCTTTTTGGACACAGATATATACATGATCTCTGTTTTCCAGACAAAAATATAGAGCCAGCAGAGAAATAGATGAAGAATTACGTTTACAGATATGAGCTGTCAAACATATGTCTTAAGACTGTCTTTGCTGTATCTTAGTTTAATTTGCTCTCTAAAGCACCCTATCACGGTACTCTGGCAAGCCTCCCCCATAATAAATACTATGCAGTCACATAATCCAAACCCCACACAACATACCAGTCCATACCTTATCCAAAGCCCTCCATACTAATCATAACTAAAAAAACCCCATAAATTCTTTATGTAGCCTCAAGTGGAGAGTGTGGAACTAGCAAACACGGTACTAGAAATTTAAATAAGCATCAAGACTGGTCTTGATAATTTAGGCAGGTCAGTTGAAGTTCAGAAATTGCATGTTTTTCCTTCTGAAAGAAAGCGACTTAAAAGGTTACACTAAAAACCTGATTTATTTTTTTAAAAAGGACAATCAATACAATTCCAACAGAAATGTGGTAAATAAGTTGCATACATACACAGAAATAGTGAGGTGAGCTTGGGAAGTAACTCTAAATCTCATAAAAACCTGCTACTAAATCAAAACTCAGAGCAAAGTAAATGAGAAGACCAGCACTGAACCCCAGTGCCAGAGGTGGGAACAGTCACCTCCAAGGGAGTGAAAAATAATTTAAAACATCTTCATAGTTCATTGTAAGAACAGTCAAACTAATGTACCAACACCTCCCTTCACCACCCTTTTTCCTTGCAGTTCCACACACAGACCAATGTGCTGTAAAAATCTTCCCTGATCTACAAATTAGAACTGTACCTCTAATTACATGAGTCCATTAAAAAAAGGTCAATCAGAGCAGCTTAATAAATACTTTAGTTCATGTTTTTTCATACTTGTTCACTTATACCTGTAATCACCACAAATGTGCCCCTTACAGATTCAGTAGTTGATAAATAAAGCAAATTTTTAGTCATTATTATAAATTACAGCCAACAAATTCAACAGTTCATTCTTAGGTACTTCCAGTCCATAGAAATTCCCACTTTACCAATAACTGGAAAATTTTGTCCCTGTTGGAACATGTGAGGTTATTCCTGATGTTCGTGCTCTTGTCCCGGGATGAGCCACCGGATGCTCTCGGTGCGAATGGTGGCGTACATGACAAAGCCAGCCAGGAAGAGCACAGAGAACAGCAGCAGCCAGTCTATGCCTTTTGTCAGAACACTGGGCAGGGGCCCTTCCCAGTCCTCCTCTGTCACAGCCACATTGCTTTTAGCTTCTATCCCTAAAAAATAAAGCACTTGGTCAACATCATAATCGCTAAATACAGAGAAGCTGGTTCTATCTGGAGCTTTGTTCCTGCTCTCAAACTAAGGCTTAAACACAGGTAGACTTAAAATTTTGGTGAGATGGCCCCTGTGCATTAACATATACCCAGGATATAATTTACTTATATAAAAACTTAGTGATTTTTATGTGTATTTGCATAACAGAAGACTTGTTTTGTCCTCCCATAGCACAGCCTTGGCTAAGTTGTGGGGGCTTTTCAGCGCATGGAAATTTAATTTAAAGTGATTTTCAGGAATCTCATTTTTGTTCATTTCTGGAAATGCAGATCCACACAGCACTTCAATGTGGATTAGAAGAGACCTAGCTGGGTGGCAAAGAGAGTTTTATTTATTTCATTCTTAATTAAATCTTTGGGCAGAAAGATGTGCTCCATCCTTCTGGCAGCCTCTCCAGCTAAACCCCACTGTTCCACCTGCTCTGTGCCAGCAGCCCAAGGGGCTGAGTTTCTGCTCTCAGCACGGGCTGAAATCCAGCTCATGGCAACAGCTGATTAAGTGAACCTCTGCTGAGTCCTCTTAGGGACATTCATTTTAAAGAACATACACAGGGACAGGAAAGCCCAATTCGGACCTTAAAGCCAGCCTGTGCTTCCCACTGACAAACCAGAGCTGATTTACACACCTGTCTGGTTAAAGATGAAGTCTTTCAGGGTTTCCAGCGTTCTCTCTGTATGATTAAATCTAGCCATAGGTTTAGCACCTTGGAAAAGGAGGATATTTGGTACAGCCACAGTTCCAAATCTAGTTGATAAGCTACAGAAAGAAAAAAACAAAACATGAAGGAAATTAAATCTTCTGGAGGAAGAAATAAACACAGTCACAATACTAAAAGTGTTAGTTTCACAAAATAAAGTTGTCTTTTTTATGTAGGAAAAAAAGTCACTCCTGTTTTTAAAACTCAAAACTAACAGGAATAAATTGCAGCTAGAGCATAGGGAATGTGAGTTACCTGCTGTGCTGGGATGCATCCAGTGCCAGGAAGCGAAGAGTGGGAAATGCTCGGGGCAAAGAGTTAAAATGAGGTGCCAGGCTGGCAGAAAAGCGGCACCACGGTGTGTAGAACAGGACCAGTGTACAGTCACTGCTGTTTGGGTTCAGGAACTCCATCAGGTCCTTGGAGAAAGCATAAGAACAGACATGAACAATTACATATTTAACAGAGTTAAATTCTGTGCAGGGATGCAACATTCAGCAATCAGTTAGATACTTGGCAATACTGATCAAGCAGCTGCACCTTTTAAAGCAGGTAGAGAATTGTACGTAACCTTTTTTTAAAGTTATTTTAAAAGTTTATTACTTAAAAATATACATACACATAACTGTTAAAAGAAATGAGCTGGCACTAACTGTCATTAATGATTTCTGAGAGAAACACCAGAACACAGAGCAAGCTGGCAGTACCCTGCAGGCACAGAGATAACACACACAGGCACATGAAGCGAGCTGTAACTCCTTTTTTTTCTGCTCAGAATGCTGCAAAAAGCCTCCTTGCCCAGTCATATATGTTCTTCGGTATTACTGAGGACGTTACACAAGGAAATTCACTAAGTCAAGCACGGAAAGCAACAAGCTGCCGGGGCATCTTCCAGCACCCTCAGGCGTTCACACCAGCGGCGGGCAGTGAGCGGGCCACCCGCGTACCTGGGACACATTCAGGATCTGCAGCGTGAAGCGCTCGATGCCCGTCGTGTTCCTCTCCTCGCAGTTCACCTTGGGAGCCTTGGCGCCGTCGGTGCCGTTCTGCTCCTCAGCGGGCGCGGGCAGCACGGCCTCCAGCACGGGCTGCTCCCGGGCCTGGGCGCCCGNCTGCTCTGCGGCTGGGCCCTGGCGGCCCGCGGGCAGCAATCCCCCGGTGAGCGCCGCGGGGCCAGGAGCGGAGGGCTGGCTGCGGGCTGTGGCTGCTGCGTGGCTGCCCCACCGGTCTCTCTTACCGGTCTTTTCGGTTGGGCCTGGGACGCTATGCGGCCTCGGCCGGCGCGGGTCGTGCCTTGAGGTGACCGGGCCCCGGGCCTGGCCTGGCCTCGGCCTCCCGAGTTTGGGAGTGGGTTGGGGTCAGCGGGCGCAGGGGAAGGGCAGTGCCCGGGTAGGGGCCGGGAGGTGGGCTGCGAGGTGTATGTACACCGCTTTTGTTGCTGTGAAGAGCAGTTTAACTGGTTACTTCGTTCATCAGACTTGAGATTTTTTTTGGAAGTACACTGGCTGCTGGTACTGGTTTTAGTCTCCCCTCCCCTAGAAATTAAGTTTATGTTATTCTGCAAGTTGACTCCTCGTTAAGTGTTTTCTTTCTCCCCCTTAAACCTACCTACAGATAGCTGTAATCAAAGGCTAATAAAAAAAGCCTTTTTTTATGGCATGCTTCAGGGGCATGTTTCTTTGTTTTGGATGGAGTACTGGCTGGGCAATGAAGAAAAAGGAGTTAGTGAAGAAAAAAAAATGGAACTGTTTGATCCATCAGTTCCTTCCGTGTTTGTCAGTCAGTATCTCCACACCAGTTCTATTCGTGTTGTACCTCACCTGCTCTGATGGGTAGGCAGTAAGAATTTGGGATATAAACCTGTAGGAAACAGAGTTTTTAACTTCAGGAATCATGAAACAACTTGCTTTCTAAACGCAGTTTTCCTGGAAGTGAGTTTAAACCATGATGTGTTTTTTATATGCAGTGTTTGTGTTTGCTACTTCTGTCACCATGATTGAACATTAGTATCTATTCCTGAAACTGAGGCACCTCTGGATCTAAAATCATCTGACAGTGTTGTGTAATTGTAAACAGTGCAACCACTCTTTATAATGCCAAATAGTATTGTGTAAATATCATAAATCATTTGTGGTTTAGCTGCTGTACTTCCAACTGCTATTAAAACAAAAAAACCCAAGCATATTGTAGGAATAATAGGAAATTGCTCTTTGTCTGAAGGAACAGCAATAGCCACTGGAAGTCCCTTGCATTTGAGCATATATCCTTCTAAAACTTCCGTGTTAAAATGAATTAAAGAATAATTTGATGTGTGAGGCCAGATGCAATGTAGTTTTATAGGCAAAATATGCTTGTTTGTATTTCAAACAGTTTAGCTATTACTCTCTGATAGTTTTTGTCTGTTTGGGGAGGGTAGCAGTAAGGTTGACCTCACTGACAATGTGCCAGCTAGCTGTAAATATGAAATTATCTTGCAACTGCCTTTCCTCATATTTATCTCTGCATATGCAACTAACTGGCTTAAACCTGAGATCAGAATTCCCTGAACTTGTCCTGGATAAGAACTGAACAAGTTAATGTTGATGAGATAATTCAGATAAGTAGTTTTTTCAGCAGCAAGAAGTGTGCCATGTAAACAAGAGTTCTGTTGTAACTCAACCTCTGCAAATATACAAGTTCCATGAATAACGTGATTCGGTGTCCCCTCTAT